TACAGGTACCCTGTTTGGATCCTTATCAGATTTGTTAGTATCGCTGTCATCAAAAAGGACACAGCAGATATATATATTCTTATTACTGATTATATTGTTACATCCTCTGCAGTGCATCATTTCATTCTCACACAGATTATTTTCATCTAGCAGTATAACAGTGGATGTTGGCGATTTCTTCCAGATTTGTTAGTTTCATGATAACTCCTAATTTTATTTTTGACTGCAAGCCTGATTCTGTATTTATTTATGACAGTTTCTCAGACATGTTTATTTCAAAACCTTTCCTATGATCTTATTTCAAGTGGGAGGGGTGGGGGTGTGGGTTTCTTTGATATTTGAACATGAATATATATTGTTGAACATGTTGACTGGAAAAATACGTTTCATTAGAGGTGTACAAATGTTTCGGCTCTATTAAAGAGCCTGAGAAATGCATATCATTGCCTTCACAGATTTGTGACCGTTAACTCTTGGAAAATGATCACTGTTAATTTCATTTTTAAAACCTCTATGCCCATTATAGAAAAATGGACCATAAGCTACGTCCCAAATATGGAAATAGTTTGTATTATTTCAGCTCTTCAAGGATAGCTCAATGTTTATACCGGAAATGTTTGTGTGAGGATTACCTATCGCTAAGGCAACAATGTTTTAAGTACATGTACCTGCTGTCGCTGTAGTACCACTGTTATTATCTAACTTGGTTGCGATGTTGAGGCATTATGTCGTTTGTGGGTGTACCAACACAAATCAAAACAAATTCACTTTGCATGGTTTTCCGACAATACAACATTTAAGGTACAAAGCCATAAAACTGACAAGAACAAAGTGGGATAGACTGTTGCATTACAGCCTGGTTTAATATTCGGTACACACAGTTTAATATTTTTTATGTCGGCTGCATCAAAGTCATTATAATACTGGAGAAAACAAATAATTATTGTAACGCTGTCCAAACTTCCAACACGTATTCAAATTCATATTATCTGCCTATTTTGAAAAGTAGCACCCATGCATTTCACATGGGTTATATTAATGTCATATCCAGTATTGTTTTTATATTACATGTACCAGGGTACTGTAAAATACTTTATTTTTGCTTGGAATTAATTTTCGCTATTTTCGCTGAAGAAATGTTTCAGTGAAAATAAAATCCAGTGAATATACATTTTGTCTAATATTTTACATTTAACTTGTTAAAAATCAGTGAGAATAAATTCCATACAAAATACTCAAACTTTTGTCACCCCCAACCCCCAACCCCCAACAGATCAACTTTAGCCAATAGTTCTATATTTGGTCCATAATTAACAATTAATATAAAAAGTAATTATATGTTTAAAAATGTCTGCAAGCCTATGAATTGATCATGCAGTTATCTCTCATTTCTAGCCATGTAACCCCTCCCCCTAATTATAATGGTTGCACCCTATGATGTATATGAGGTAATTAGTAAATTGTAATACTTATATGCATACTGAGAAAATGCGTCAATTAATAGTGGATCACCATGGAGATAAATTCATTTACTCTTTCTAGGCATTTCAAGTAAAACAGAATGCATATACGGTTGGTGGCATGACGTTATCAAGTCCTCTACTCCATGGAGGCACTGATTTCTGTATTCTTTTACCGTTATACGTACTTTGGACTGAACACAAATAATGGTAATAATAGTGATTGTCAAGTACTACAACCCTGCATAATTCTGCAGTAACCAAAGAAAAGCTGCAAAAATCCTATTCAATAGCTTAAAAAAGACTGTGCCATTGTAGGATACTAAAATGTACTGTGTTTTCCCTCAATGCTGTTTGTGGGAGGTATCAACCAAGTTCAGTCGGTTTATAAACTGAAAAGGTTGGATAAAAAAAAAATGTTTTCCTATTTGTACTTAAAAATTAGTTACTCAGACTTGAATTAAAATGGCCTTTTTTTTTCAAATGTTGTTTGCTTTTCGTATTTAACTGTTAAGTATTGGGCAGATTTCTGCCTTGAGGAAATCAACAGATACATGTATCACCTGGATTTGTTTTCAGATGTTTTTTAAAGATAATTTATCTGTTGTTAAGGTTGAAAATATTGAGGTGGTTATCCTGTGAATAAAACCTTCTTCAATAATAGTAATAATTTTTTTTGGGTCACATTTATTGTTTGTTTCCAAAACGTCACTTACCCCTACACACTTCATATACTTATTTCTGAACGCTGAAAAACACTGTGTAGATTATGCGATGTATTATTCACAAGTTTCTGTAAATAGACTGTAGAAAGTCATTCGAGACTACCGGCGCACAAAGCATGTAATTTACATGGCTCTGTACTGCCGAGATTGCTTGAGAGAGAATAAAGTATCGTGTCGCAGGAAGGGCCATCAGGTGCTGAATATTTTCTATTTATAGCGCTTGGTGAATTCATCTCATTTGACGCGGTTCAGAGTGCATATCATTGGTTGTGGCAGCTTGCTATTGTTAACCTTATCTATTCCTGCCGTATTTCATCAAAGTTTAAATATAGCTTGAACAATTATATTATAGGTAAACTAAATGTTCAATGTGTATTCACCATCTCACCTCCTTTGTTGGGTGTTGCAACAGACTCTTGGAATTGAGAGTCCTAGTTCGTATTGGGATTACAAATTTGAAAAGATAAATTTTTGTCATTTCTAGCACTTTAGAATATGATATATATGAAGTGCTGTTTTCCAATTAAGACCCGACCGCAAATGTGAAAATCGGCAAATGTGGTATCGTCAAACATTTTATTTGCAATTCTATGACAGTACCTTCATGAAATTTCATCCTACCAAATGCTCTTGATATTATGGAATTGCGATAATTGATTACGGCAAAAATTATTGTTTTATGTAATGAGATGTGAATAATATCAATTTGAATTATCAAACCGCAAAAATTACTAGCTGTCAAAAGAAAACCATTTTAGGTGTGAAAATCTCCCCAACCTCGCACACAACAAAAGAAAATTACAAGGAATTATAGAATTTGAAGAGTATAATCATTTAACACCTCAAATGTAATATTCAAATGTAATATTCAAATGTAATATTCAAATGTAATATGTTTCAGTTATTTTTTTAATAACACCTTCAGTGAACAGGCATTTACAAGAGAAGTAAACCCTGCTGCTACCTAAGAGGAAGTACCGGTAGTAGAATTGAATATTTATATTTGAAATGTTCGAAGTTGTGTGCGTATTGCAATAAATACAAAATTCACAAGATATTTTTTTGCCAATAGCCAAACATCACTAAATAGTTTTGTAACTTTGGTTGTGATAGTTTTCAGCATCTTGGGGTAATCAAGTCTCAAGTAGCACATGCTGATTCTTTTCTTAATGGCCTTTAGGTTCTCCACATTTGAATATACACTGTATAGAACGATTCTAAACATTAAACATGTGTACATTGAAGATTACGTACTTCCTCGGTTAGTTGTTTAGCATGGTCCCAAAGGAGAATTCAAACAGCAATGCATGATGGGTTTTTTTTTAGTGAAGACAATTATAACTTTAACTGTTCAGTGCATCGATGTATATCAGTAACATTTGCGAACGCTGTCACTTTGATTTTTGATGAAGTTACTCAAAATTAAAAGGATTTTCAATTAAGTTTTGCCGACAATACAACTTAAATTACAAATTATTAATTTTTGAGTACGAGATAATGTGCATTGTGAGTCATACATCCCAATATTTGAAGCAAATTTGTGAAAATTTTAGTAAAATGTGACCTTTGTAAGGTGTGATGATGTTCCTTGTTTTATTTAAATAAATATATTTAAGGCTCAATGATGAAATACTTAGTTATCTTTTCAGCTTTCTATGGTGACAACAGTATGTTTGTGTGCATCATAATAACAGTGGTGACGTGGTTACTTGACAGCTTTGCATTATCGTCACACCCTGCTTTCAAAATAAACATTACCAAAAGAACTTGGTTAATAATAGAATCACCCTAGAGCGTGTATTATTAAAAGAGAAAATGGATGGAAATCTACACATCTTTCTATTTTTGTTGGTGTCTATCAACATTTGCAGATTTTTCATAAAAGCATATTTGTTTTCAGCTCTGCTCGTACTAAGCTGGTGTCGTAACTAATTGCTGTCAATTGCCCGAATATTAAATTCTCTAAACCTATGTACCATATGACTTTCATTTTGTCATGCCTGAGCTGGTTTTCACCTGGTTTTGCTTTGGGGAGATTAGAATTTATTTTCTCGAATTGTTTTTTTCATTTTTTTAATATTTTTTTCTTTTAACCTCGAGCTACATGTGTATGTGTGCAGATCATGATTCTCTCTGATGCGGATTATTTCTATTCTGAGTCTGTGGGCTAGTCATCCATAATAGATGTATTTTTTTTTTTAATATTTTTGTGCCAGGTGCAAAGTGCTCAGATATAGTGCATTTTCCTATCTTAATGGCATATAATTTAATGAACTAACGTGGAGTTGAACATAAGCACCTGTAGACATTGACCAGGGTTTCCCCATCCATTAGTGAATATAGGTTTGTATGTTGCACACTCAGGTTGGGGGGGGGGGGGTGACCTTTTTTAGTGTTCAGCCGCAGGCTAGGATTTTTACTTTGCATCTACGAATTAGGGGTTCTGCACACTTACCACTGAGCACAAATCCATCTCTTAGACTCACCCACGTTAAACGCTCAAAAAACGTTCAACCCTGGGTCAGTACGTCACTGACTCAAGACCAAGTTAAGCTACCTGGTTGATGCAGTGAAATTTGACATGGTGTCACAATAATGGTAATATTGGCACATGCATGTATGAAACCCTGCCATCCTAAGCCTGGCATATGGTTTCTATGGCAAATGCATTGGTTAGCTCTTAAAATTTGCAAATACTGGCCCATCTTGTCTGTTATAGTTCATTTTGTCTTTTCTTTTCAAAGTCATTGAATAGCAGGAGTTACTTTTCACCATGTTGCAACTCTTCTGATAAATTTTTTTTTTCTTCTCACAGTTTGGAAGTATACTTGCCACAAAATGACAGCTGGACCGAAGTGGCACCGCTAAGTTGCAGGCGATATGAGTGCGTTTGTGCTGTCCTTGACAGAAAGCTATATGTGATTGGTGGAATGAAATGCATCGTAAGAGGTGGAACATCTATCCGTCACCATGACAACAGTGTGGACCGGTGGAACGCTGATAGTGACACCTGGACTAACATAGGAGGCATGATCAAATGTCGTAGCAATTTAGCGGTAGCGGTATTGGAAGGGGAACTCTACGCCCTTGGTGGTTACAATGGTGAAACCTATTTACGAAGTGTAGAGAAGTTCTGTCCAAGGACAATGCAATGGAGATTGGTGGCACCGATGCTCAAAAGCCGTAGCTGTTTTGCCGCCGCCGTCTTAGATGGTATGATTTATGCTGTGGGAGGTTATGGTCCAACGTACTTAAACAGGTGAATATTTTGTCAATCAAACAATATCAGTGTCAATAATTCGTTAGTCGCTGACCAATGACAAAATTGATTTTTTTTTTTGAATATACACATACCTACAATATTGGTTGGCATGGTAGCTGGCAAACATATTCTATTGTCTGTTTCGACTCCTATCATCTGTAAATGAACTGTAATATTCCATGCTCAGTCTAAATCAGTCTTCTTTCATATTTCCCTTGAACTATTTTGTCAAGGTAAACATTTAGGATGGACGCTATCTAATTTAATATAGAATCATAATAATTGAGCTGCATCATAATTTGAGCATTTTTTTTATAATAAAATCTGCCACTTATGACTATTGTGTGTATCTCTCGTTTTAATAACATTGATATAAAATAGATATTCAATAAGCCGCTTAGGCGGCATGTTTGTTGCGTAGTGCATAATGTTTATGGCTGTGTCTGAGCTCTTACTGTCCTTTTTTCATTGATTTATTATGTTACATGTGTTTCCTACTCAATTGCCAGTCAGCACACATTTTCTAATTTGAAAAAGGAGAAGTACCCTCTATTATATAAGTCTATTTTTAGCTGTCTAGTCGTTCTGATGTTGAATCAAGCTGACACCAATAAAACTCTTGATATAGAGCCATACATTAAGTAATTACCATTGCATTTTAACTTAATATACTCTTATTTGTGGCTATTTTTAACATCATGACCCTCTATACTCAATTTATTCTTGCAATTGTGACGTTTTACATTCAATTTATGATTTCAATACTTTAGAAACTGTTTTATTAATATTTTTAATATAGCCATACCTGACTATTTTTACTTAAACTACCGAAAAATGTATTCATTCAAGTCTGTCTGTCTGTCTGTCTGTCTGTCTGTCTGTCTGTCTGTCTGTCTGTCTGTCTGTCTGTCTGTCTGTCTGTCTGTCTGTCTGTCTGTCGTTGTTGACAATCTTATGATTTCAATAACAATTTGTTTGCAAACTTTGACAATTATTTCCATCTGTATAAAATCTTGTCTATTTTCAAGCATCTCACTTTTTTGATAAAAAATATGCCTGTACAAGCTATTGTTATCAATAGACTAAACTAGCTTTACATCTATATGTCATAGTGGTTTATGTTTATTGCAGTGTTTACACACTACTTGCCTACCATCAGTTTGCCATTAGAGGTCATTGTTTTAACCACAAGATTTATAAGACAAGTATATAACTTGTACGAGCTAGAGACAAATTCATGAATATAAAACGATTAATGTTCTTGTGGCAATTGTACGTGGCTTTCATGGTAACTACATCGTACTCATTAGCACTATGTGTTGCTGGCTGTATATTGTAACTATAAGCCCTGCTATAGGCATCTGCTTTTCCTAATATCAAGCTGATCACTGATAACAGTATTATTAAAAGCAAAATGTCTACTTTTTACGACATGCCTGTTCCTGCCTTTTTCTCAAATTTTGTTTTAAGCATTAGGAGTTGTACATTGTTTAATTTTTGATGGCTACTGTTTTTATTATTCGTCATGCTGCTGTGTTTTTTTTTAATTCTGCAAAGTATATATACGTGTACAGCCTGTTGCAGTTATATCCTTTTCAGACAGTTTTAATTTAATATTTATATACGGTTCAAGCATGCTTGATATTATTATCTTGGCTATATGTTGCATCTCATTTATTCATACTATTAGTTTAATTGCTTTGAGATTATGCTTGAATTAATAGATCTATATTTGGAATTTGATTAATGTTCTCAATGTGATGTGTGTAATAACCTGTTGCTGCTGTTGTCACTGGTACATGTATCTCCAAAACCAGTGGCCCAATTTTTTTAGACAATTAGATGTTTTTACGAGTAGAGCTAATTCAAGCTCTAATTTGTCTTCGTTGTCTTGCTGTAACTGACAGGTGTGTTGTTATGGTATTAAGGGGAAATGTCTTGTGTTGTGTTGTCATTCATATTTTTCTCTTTATGACAATTTTAAGTAATATTTATTATCTTTTATCCTTGGCAATTTTTTTTATATAATTTGACCACAGTCAGCTGGCGCACACGTGATAATAAAATAAATACGATATTTACTAAATTGGGGCCGCCATCTTGAATGACGCATAAAACTAAATAAGAGACAAGTTGTGAAACGCGTTTTTCAGATTCCTACAAATCAAGACAAAAATACCAATCTTTCACAAAAATACGGTCTGTTTGAGTTGTATTAAGCCGTTCGTATGCAAGGGATTTTTCCACACAAAAACGACGAATTTGGTCGAATTTTGTTATCGGTTGGCTTAATATAATTCAAACGAACCGTATTTTTGTGAAAGATTGGTATTTCTGTCTTGATTTGTAGGAATCTAAAAAACGCGTTTCACAACTTGTCTCTTATTTCGTTTTATGCGTCATTCAAGATGGCAGCCCCCATTTAGTAAATATTGTGTTTATTTTATTATCACGTGTGCGCCAGCTGACTGTGTGTTTGACCAATTTTATTTGAATTGTTTACTGAGGCAACACAATGTACATAGTTTTTACCCCCCCCCCCCCCCCCCCCCCCCGGACAAAGTCTGGGAGGGGGGGTTGTAGTTTCGCCTTCGTCAGTCCATCTGAAGTGATTACTCATAGATGGCTAGACCGATTTTTTTGAAACTTGACAGAGTGGTCAACATGTGCACGTCAATTTATTTTCTGATCAAATGCAGGAATTTGCTGCTCAAAGTTGCATTCCCATTTTGCAAATCTGTGAGGTACCATTTTCTGACAAATATATATATACACCATCGAATATTGAGATTGTGAATGGATAATAAGAAATTAACCGCAGAATATAAAGACAGCCTCTTAAATTAAGCTAAATTTGTAAATAATAGAAATTCACCGAATTAGGAGACTTTGTTCATCCTTGAATGCTAGTTACATTGTAAGTATGTTTATAAAGAAATAAGACCCTCCACTACTTTCAAAATAAATTGTTCAAATCTTAATGACAGTGAAATATCCTATCATAACTATGAATTACATTTTATTTGTAGTCTTGTGCATATTAATTAGTTGATTTGCATGTCTATTTCCCATGCATTCGGTGGTTGAGTTGAAACAAAAATAAAATAGTATGTGTCAATGTAATGAATACCATGGATATGATTCATATGCTGTTTGCATATGTTGCTATTGTAACGTACACGATTGCCGCTAGTATTGACAGTCTTTCATGGAAATAGATTTGATGGGGTTTATTGAGGTCAGCTAATGTCTGGATGGCGTCCTTTAAATCTCTCATGAATTGTACTACCATCAACACAGTTTTATTTAAACTGATACTTCAAGTGATTTGATTCATTGAACAAATATGGCTGCTGGTTCCCATTCACACACTTTATTTGGAATTATTCTTTGCAGAGAATTTCAAGCACCAGGCTTGAATTTTTGAAGAAGGAAAAATGTATAATAAATTGATGAGACAGACTATTAGTTGCAGGGCTTGAACATTTTCTTGGAGAGAAAGTGCAATTGCTGCATATCACTTTCATAGTCATGGTTAGGAAACTATAAGTAATTATTCGATGAACGATTTATTTGAAAAAAAGTCCCATTCAGTTATTTTGTTTGACATGGTCGGTGTGCACTCTCAGTTTAGATAAGAATGTCTACGTGATAAATAAGGTACTGATTTATTGATGGATGAATGAATGGTGATTTCCTCGGAGAGCAAGGGGCGCTATTCTTATTATAATATAAAATGATTTATTATGAGAGTATGTAATGTTTACACATTTGTATTTGTCACATGTATCAATGTATTACTATATATAACATTTGCTTTGTACTCCTTTGTGTAACATGTGTCTATATTTAGATCTGCTGGTCCACTGAGTCCTCACGCTTGTATAGTTGCCTTATTAGGCGAAATAATTGAGTACGCAATTAATGTCTCGCTGAAGAACTGTAGCTTATTTTTCCCAGTCTACTGATGTTTCTTCATATTCAGTATTGTCCTTGGTATTTCCTGATACATTCATGTATATTTGATTGCATGGGCATTGTTAACTATTAAAATTACTTGTTTTTTTTATCTTACTTTTTTTTTTTTCATTTGACAGTGTTGAACGCTATGATCCGAGTCATGACCGCTGGGAGATGGTAGCCCCAATGGTGGAGAAGAGAATCAACTTTGGTGTAGGCGTGTCACGAGGTTTTCTTTATGTGGTGGGTGGACACAATGGTGTGTCTCATCTAAGCAGTGTTGAGAGATACGATCCACATCGCAATGAGTGGGTGTTGGTGGCACCCATGGATAAACCAAGAACTGGTAAGGGGTGGATGGGTATGATGGGTGTGGCAGGTCAAAAAATCGACTTTTATATACTCCCATTTGCACTGTTTATAGTAAATTGCAAGGTACCCAATGTAATTAAACAGTTGCATGTCATTTTCAGCAATTTGGACAGCATGTAACAGTACCTGCAGAAAACAATCTTATTTGCTGAACATGCTCACTAAAAAGACTTGGCATACTTTATACTGCTAGTGGTTAGGTTAGATGGATAAATAAGACTTTCCAAAAAAAAAACACTTTAAACAGTCACATCTGAAGCTCTGTTCAATGTGTCTAACAACTATGATATCAGCTGCTGTACTGTCAATTCTATATCTGTATTCTATGGGCTTTAACAAACAACAATATTTGCCCTACCATGTATTTATTTACCTTGCTGTGGTGATCAAACCATAGTTTTCATTTCCCCCCCGAGCTTGGTAGATCGAATGATAAAGTTATATATTTGCATTTTGTAGAACACAAAACAAGTTATATTTATGACTGATGGTTTTAAACTTCATCCCCTGTGTATAAACTAATCTTTCAAACCGAATGGTGTTAATTATTTTTTAGCATTCGTCGCCTACTTTTGCACGATTTTTATACTCGAATTAACATTCGCCAAAGCAACCACCCCCCTTTTCAAAATAGATAAATAAGTGGCATAAATGCAGCTTATTAAAATCCCAAATTTTATATACTGGTAGATCATTATTTTGAAGCTTTGGAGGAGGGGGGGAGGGGCTTCCTTTATGCACATTGTTGCTCAGTATACATTGAATATTAAAATTTTGTATTTCAGGTCTTGGTGTAGCTGTTCTGGATCACAAGCTTTATGTCGTTGGAGGCCATTCCGGTTCATCATATCTGAACATAGTGCAGTGTTACAATCCAATTTCTGAGAAATGGTCCACTGTTAACAGTATGTCTACTTGCCGCTGTAATTTTGGTCTTGCTGCCCTATGATGGAAGTGGTGAAAACACAATGCATGATGATTTGAACAAATTTTGTTGCTGTTTTGGCAAGTTGGGAACCAAGAAAGAAGAAATGTGATTGGAGATTTCTGTCTATATATAGTTCACTTGTTGTGGAAAGTGTGTTAACCAAATAAATGCGAAAGAAAGAGAATATTCTTTATTTTGGCTTGGTGCTGGAACTGCTGCTTATTTTACAGAATTGTAACACTCTGACAATTTTTCATTCAAAAGAAAATTTACAAATCAAATGTTTTTAATTTAAGATAATTTTTTTTCAGAAATGGTGATTGTCTTGATATTAATGTTTAACTTTTACGTGGAGAACAACAGATGCTCAGTTTTATCTTAATTTTTATATGCAATTTACGTGCAGAATTTTTTGTTGTCATATTTTTTGTTTTTAAAGCTGGTGTTCTACTTCAGTGTTGATTCACTGCTGGGTAGATGGTGGTGTGGAAAAGCCAGTCAACAGATGAAACTTTTTTTTTAATGCTTTTGTAAATATCTTACTTATGAAAGAAGTAATATTCACAGCTGACAGTCCAAGGAGAAAAGTGTGAACATACTTGGTGAGATAAGCTTATGCTAAATAATGAAATGACTTCAAATCGAACTTCAAATGCATGATTCAACTGGTTTGTGTTTGGATATTTCAAATTTTTTTTTTTTAAAATTTGATCCATGTGCATCAAAATCAACAAAAACTCTATTTTAACATTTGTGTCCCAAAAAAATTAAGGTGGCCACATTTTAATATATTTAGGGATAATTTCATTGTTAATTTTTAGACCAAATGCATAAATTTCAATTGCCACATTTGCGGAAAAAAAAAAAAATTATTGTGCATGGTGACAAAAGTTTACATTGACGTTCAGATCTTTAAACCACTTGTTGATTACAAAGCAAATGTTTCAGCTAATAAAAGACAGTTTTCCATTTACCGAGGTGCTGTGCGTGAAATCAAATGTAAAATTAAGACAAACAAAAGGTCATAGCATTATAGTGGTGTTGTGAAACATTCGTCAAACGTGAAAGTATTATTTTGGGAGTATTTCCACGTTTAATAATGTGCTTATATACATGTCTGATGATGGTCAATTTTGATGAAGTAATGATATCTCAATTCCATCTGAAAGAATGGCATTGAACTACAATTAAAAAGAAGGGACAATCAAATCATTCGATTTTTTTGTTGCAGACGTTCAATCCGTGTCTTTTGTGCGTTATCGCATATTGTGAACTATTTTTTCTTCATGCTGTTTATGCACAACTTATTGACTATTTCATGTACATTTTTTATATATGAATTTCGCTTGTTTACTTTGCAAAGTAGCTCAGTATGCTTGTGTATAAAGACAGTAACAATGACTACTGTAGAGGGGGGGCAAGTCATTGGAAGAGCACACAACAACCCCCCAACCAGAGATTCTGAAAATTCTGTTGGGTACCACTGACCAAATTTTTAGTAAATAAATTTCAAATCCTTGCCATTTTATTCACAAAGATATATATATATATATTGAAAAACTTAATTCAGAATCATATACTGGTATATGATATATATGAAATGTTAAATTGTTAATTAAAATAATCCTTGTCCATGTATTTTCTAGATCACTTCACCCTACCTCTCTAACTATTATCAGCTCGGCAGCACCATGAGTAACTCTACGACATTCAACTGAATTTTAACTCTGCAATTGATCATTTATTTTATTGTCTTAGCGATCTACTGCATTTAACCTTTTCACCACCAGTTTCCTCTTTTCTTCACAAATTCACAAAAGAGTCCTGTTTATAGTCTGCACTTTTCTTCAGTAGATTGGGACAAAAATAGCCAAATTTTTTGAGTAAAAACCAAAAATTGACTCAAATTTTGTCTGTTGGCTCCAAAGTTAGTGTTCATTTCCAGAAATATTGAAGAATATAAGGGAAAAAGTGCAAAAAAAAAAAAAAAAAAAAAATTGTGCAACAAAGTCTGGTGGTGAAAAAGCTGTACATGATGGTGCTTTAGTTCCTGGTGAAATCTAAACAGGCATGTGAACAACTGCAGTAGTTAAAATAAATTTAGCAATAATCACTAGCTTAAGCATTTACATAAAATGACTAACGATATTTTCTCTCTCCTGGACAGCTTTTAAAAATAAAAATGACATTTCGGTTTCATTGATGAGAGTATGTGAATCTAAAATATTTGACAGCAAGACGTAATCAGATATAAGCGCGAGTACTATCCTTGCATGAAATACAGTAGAAATTGGGGGGTGGGGGTGGGGGTGAATGTTCATGTTGCATGAGGCTTTTGTTGTGGATCTTGTACGGCTATGTTTCTTTATGCCTCAAAATAGAAATTAAAAACCTGTGTGGCTGATGACTATATGTAACTGCATTTACTGTTTTCACAGAATAATGTTGGATTGAGTAGGAAATCATTTTCACTATTGACACTAAGTGCCTAGAATATATTTGTCATATGTATTTGTACAAGTCTGTTTTTTAATCTGTGCCTTGTTGAATAAATCAATGGGTCTTCGCTATACTGTAAATTACTGTCTGGTGGAGGAGAGTAGAACAAATGCGAGTTGGTATTGTAATTTATACTTTATAAAATACCATGAATGCAATAATTTTGGACAAAATAGACATAATATCCAATGGCCTACAGATCTATTTAAAATTATCAAATAAAAAATAAATTGTCTATTAAAGGTGAATTTTGATTGACTTTGGCATTCAAATTTGACGCTACATCAATATTTTACAATTATTTGGAAAAGTGAATTTGTAAATCACTACACAACATATATTACAAATTTGTAGTAGTTTCCTTGAGACATCAAAGTGATGCAGTGCCTATTTTTAGTCAAGGATATGAGTTTTATCATCTATCAAACATCACATTGCAAGATGTGCACAGATTAAAAATAGAGATGACCCTATTTTAAGTGTCTAATGACAATGAGAGCAGAAAGAGGTTCAAGTATTGCAGATAATACAGGTGATCTAGGAGATGAGATGATTTAAAGATGTATTGCTAATTGTTTCATTAATGAGGGTGAAATAAAATTCTGAAGACCTTCTTGGGATTCAAGTGCAGCTTGGCTGAATGTATTTCTATTATAAATAAAGCCTTCTTATTATCTTTGTTCCTATAGCAACGAATTAATGCAACTTTCCAGCTTGCTGAGATTATAGTTTGTGTAACCATTAATCAGGGTGGCGGGTGGCGACACTATAATCCCCCCCCTCAAGAATGTACAATTACCAATTAACTAGCAATTTTATATTCAAATTAAATATTCTTCAGGCTTCTAATTACATTAGTATGTCAGTGCAGTTACATAAATTTAAAGCGTATCCAATCACTGAAATGACCACTATCTTTGAAGACAGTATGGAATAAAGCCCGCAAACAAATATGTATGTGTTTAAGAAATGTCCATTTCTCCATACTACTATCTGTATACATATTTATACAAAACATTGACTTTTATTGGTTTTATAGCCTTTTAAGTATAGCATATGGAAACTATAAGAGGGTATTTATTCGTTAGTACAAGAGGTTAAATTTTAAATTGCACAATATCAGTGAAGAGTTAGTAACAAGGGAAACAATACTATGGTAACAAGGTTAGATTAGTTTGTCAATTATTACTAAAAATAATTTATTGTGAAACATCTTTAATAGACGTTGCATATAAATGCAAAATTGCATTTAGTTAACATAATGAATCATGTCACTTAGCAGCACATTTAAAGAGTTACGTAAGCAAATAACACCGAATA